TGTGTGTGTGTGTGTGTGTGAGAGAGAGAGAGAGAGAGAGATGATGATGATCTACCTGTTGCAGTGGGAAGCTTTGGCTGCCGTCTCCTGACAGGGACTGAGAGCATTGCTGCCGTGGTGCAGTGTTCTGTCACTGAAGAGGCCCACACTGTCTGCCTTGTTGACAGTGGGTAGCCAGGGAGTAACAGGCCCTTTTCAAGACTGCTGAGATCCAAGAGGGAGGGGCGTGAGGAATCGTCAGATCTGGGCATATGTAGAAGGTGGATGTAAATGGGAATACTGTACCCCAGTGCACAGAATGAAGGTCCAGTGGGCCGCTTTGCCCAGAAGTTCTGGGGGGGGTGCGAGAGTCAGTGTTAGACTCAAGGGTAGAAAATGTAGGGGTGACTACGAGTTGTTTTATTACCCACGGATGAACAGCTTCTCCGTCATCAGGGGAAGGAACCACACCTCCTCCGAAGCCTCTTGGCGCTACCCAGTGTGCTTCCTGCAGTCTAACAGAGTTGCCTTTGCTCTTCCACTGTGGAGGAGAAGTGCTTGGCTGTTCCTGTGTTTTCCTTCTCCCCCCCCCCCCCAAGACAAGGTTTCTCTGTGTAGCCCTGGCTATCCTGGAACCCTCTGTGCAGACCAGGCTGGCCTCAGACTCACAGAGATCCTCCTGCCTCTGCGTCCTGAGTGCTGGGATTAAAGCTGTGTGCCGCCACGGCCTGGCCAGGGTTGTTATTTTTAATGTCAGGTGTGTGTCGGTAAACGCTTTCCTCCTTTTCCCTTTTGTTAGGTGAGAAGCCGTTCACTTGTGAAATCTGTGGGAAATCTTTCACAGCGAAGAGTTCCCTTCAGACCCACATCAGAATCCACCGGTAAGCGTGTTTGGGTCCGGGTGACACAGGACATACCTCTCCAGCCCATGCTAGCCCATGCTAGCCCATGCTAGCCCAGACGCGGAGTCTTGCTTCTCTGCCCGGGTACTAACTAGGACTGCAGGTGTATGCCATCGCACCGGCCTTTTGCTGTCCTCTAGTGGCCTCACTGAACTCTGGGGTTCTGGGGGGACCTTTGCCCCAGTCGTTACTCGGGCAGAATTTCCTGCGTGTGTGGTTTACTATTTTACTTTTTCAGTCATTACATTGCTCAGACAAGAGCAGCAATATTGGGCCCAGCCAGTAGAAGCTTGCATTGCTGGCTTCATGGTTTAGATTTTACGGGGAGGGTGGTCTAAAGCTTCCGTCTTCACCCAAGAATAAGCACGAAGGCCCGGGGAAGCGGGTCAGTGCATAAGGACTTGTTGCCCGAGGATGAGGATTGGGTCAGATCTCCAGCCCCTGTAGAAGCCAGAGGTGGCGCTGCATGTGTGTCGGAGGGCAGAAGGGGTGGGTCCTGGGTCTGACCACCAGGCTAGCCAGAATGGCAAGCTCTGGTTCAGGGAGAGACCGTCTCAAAAAATAAAGTGGAGAGTGACGGACAGCCAGCCAGTGCTAACCTCTGCCTCCACACAGATAGATCCACCACACACAAGGTGGAGAGTGACAGACAGACAGACAGCCAATGTCGACCTCCGCCTCCACACAGGTAGATCCACCACACACAAGGTGGAGAGTGACGGACGGACAGCCAGCCAGTGTCAACCTCTACCTCCACACAGATAGATCCACCACACACAAGGTGGAGAGTGATGGACGGACAGACAGCCAGTGTCGACCTCCGCCTCCACACAGGTAGATCCACCACACAAGGTGGAAAGTGACAGACAGACAGACAGCCAGTGCCGACCTCCACCTCCACACAGATCCACTACACAAAGCAGTGGTGAAGTGTGTCACACTTGAAATCTCAGCCTGTAGCAGGTAGAAGCAGAGGGTGGCCCCCAAGTTCAAGGCTAGCCTGGACTACAGAGTTAGACCATGTCTCAAAAGGAAGACAATAATACTATCTGGAGTTGAGATGATAGTTCACACCTATAAGCGCAGCACCTGGTAGGCAGAGGCAGGAGGATCAAGAGTTTAAGACCAAACTAGACTACATAGGAAAATTCCATCCAAAAGAAAAGGGTTCTGTTCATAAAAATTGCTCCCAGGTTGGATTTCGATATGTTTCTAAAAGCTTCAAAAATAATTAGGAGCTGCTTAAAATTTTAATGTTGATATTAACCATAATACCTACCTACCTACCTACATACATACCTATTTGGTCTTTAGAGTCTAAAAATCAGCTGTAAGAACTAAAAGCAAAATCGAACTGTTTGAGTAATATGTAAAGTTTCCTTTCTTACCTGAAACACATGACAACAGAATCATAAAGTCTCATCCCACGTAGCTCAGTCCACCGTACCGTGAGCCCTTTCAGCCCTTCTGTGTCTGAGACTTGAAGCGGAAACACTTTTCATGGCTTCTGCCTAAGTACCCGGAAGGAGAAAGAGCGTTTCTGTGTGCTTTCTTCCAGAGGAGAAAAGCCGTACTCCTGCAGCATCTGTGGCAAGTCCTTCTCCGACTCCAGTGCCAAGAGGAGACACTGCATCCTCCACACAGGCAAAAAGCCCTTCTCCTGCTCCGAGTGTAGCCTACAGTTTGCTCGCTTAGACAATTTGAAGGCTCACTTGAAAATTCACAACAAAGAGAAGCACGCGGCAGATTCCTGCAGCGTTTCCGGAGGCAATGCTGAGGAGGTCCGCAACATTCTTCAGCTACAACCGTACCAGCTCTCCACCTCGGGAGAGCAGGAGATTCAGCTTCTTGTAACTGATTCTGTGCATAACATTAACTTCATGCCAGGCCCCAACCCGGGGGTCAGCCTGGTAGCTGCTGACACCTCTCAGAACATGGCCACAGACCCAGCTGCTAATCTGGCCCTGCTCACGCAGCAGCCTGAGCAACTGCAGAGCCTGATTCTTTCAGCTCAGCAGGAGCAGACAGAGCACATTCAGAGCCTCAGTATGATTGGAGGCCAGATGGAGTCCTCCCAGCCGGAGCCAGTGCACGTAATCACACTTTCCAAGGAGACGCTGGAGCATCTGCATGCCCAGCAGCAAGGGCAAACCGAGGCGCTCCGGTTGGCAGCTGGCGCTGATCCAGCTCAGCACCTGCAGCTGACACGGGACCCTGGTCCACCCCTACCCACTCCACTAGGCCAGGAGCAGAGCTGACCCATGCTGACTGTTCCACCGGACCCTCCTCCTGGGCCAGCAGTGACAGACTGGTCCTTTCGGTCACCGTCTTACAGATCCATAAAGCCAGCAGCTTATTTATGATGGGCTCCATCGGGGCAGAATCTGTGTGTGGGCATGAGTGCACGATCTGTCTGATCTATGATACCAATTCCTACTTAGCATTGAAATGTCGATGAGGGGCTCCACTTTCAAGTCTACTATGTCTCTCAAAGGTGGACAGTTTTTCTTGGGGGCATTGATTTAGACGTTTCTGTAAGTGTTGAATGTTCACGGCCATAGAGTGTGATCTTTAGATCAAAAAGTCATGCGTAGGTTGACTCTTCAGGTATGGTGGTTGGTTCCATTCCGTTATTTCTCTTAGGCAGGATACTTGCCAGTCCAAAACAAGGCAGGACTGACTGTACCTGATGATATCCATCAGGAGATTTCCCCTCCAGGAGCTTTTCTGCCCTAAGAGCACCACACCTCTTGCATTTTATCTTTGTGTGGTGCAGTGGGCTGATCATGTTGCACTGAAGGCAGATTCAGACTCGAAGACCATACTCATGATGCAGAGGCCAAAGTGTACTGTTTTTCAAGACAGCATTTCTCTATATTAACAGCCCTGGCTGTCCTGAAGCTCGCTCTATAGACCAGGCTGGCCTCGAACTCACAGAGATCCGTCTGCCTCTGCCTCTAAGTGCTGGTATTAAAGGCGTGCACCACCACCTGGCACAAAGTATACTTTTAAAATTTTTGAGTTTAACTTTTCTGCAAAACATGAATTTGTACATTTTTTGAAAGAAACAGGCTGTTAAATTTTTAGTTAAAAATTCTCCACAAAGTATGAAACTAAATCAAGATACTTATTCCAAGTAAACCAAATTTTGTCAGATATTGACTTGATTTTCATGAAAAAGGATTCTTAATTACTTGGAACTTAAAAGTCTATTCAATATAAGTCGTAAATACACTACTGAAATCTATTTTGAGATATTTCAATATCTCAAAATACTGATTTGCATGTTCAATCTTAGAACTTCCTAGAGGTGGAAATGTACACTAATCTATTCTTACAGTCTAGATGAAATTCCACTTAATTTTAGTCATTGAAATCATGTGTTCATTGTGTGAGTGTGGGCTGTGTACATGTGTGGGGTGTGTGTATGTGTGAGTGTGGGCTGTGTGCATGTGTGGGCTGTGTGCATGTGTGGGATCTGTGTATATGTGAGTGTGGCATATGTGGGATGTGTGTATATGTGGGATGTGTGCATGTGTGGGATGTGTGCATGTGTGGAATGTGTGAGTGTGGGATGTGTGCATGTGTGGGATGTGTGTATGTATGAGTGTGGCATATGTGCATGTGTGGAGGCCTCAGGTGAACATTGGGTATCCTGGTCTATCACTCTGCCTTATTTCCCTGAGACAGGAATCTGGAAGCTGGTATCCAGCAAGCCCTCAGCCCTCCTCCTGTTTCTACCTCACAGCACTGGGGTTCAGCACACATGGCCGTCTCCTGGATTTTGACTTGGGTGCTGGGATCCAAGCTCCAGTCCTCACATAGCACAGCAAGTGCTCTACCCACTGAACCATCTCCAGCTCCTGTTTATTCTTAAAACACAAAGTCTTTATGATCTTCTCAAAACCTCCTAGTTCTCATTTCCCCCAGAATTCAACATTGTATTAAAGTAAATTAAAATTTTCTCACTCTGGACAGCTGGGTAACGATTCAGAAGCATGGTTGTGTAGCTGTTGGTTTGGTTTGGTGCTGAACTCAGCCCATACAAGTTAGATTTAGTTTACTTTGTAACACCCTACCTCTACACTAAGAATACATCATGAGCCAGGCCTGGGAGTACAGGCCTGTGATCCCCAGAGGCGAGTGGAGACAGGACGACCTTGAGTTTAAGGCTAGCCTGAGCTACTTAGACCCTTAAAAGAAAACAGGACCTGGGATGTAGATCAAAGGTACAGTGTGTCCCTGGCATGCACAAGACTGGGCTCTGTCCTCAGAACTGGGGGGGAATAAAAGAGGTACAAGACACAAGGAATATTAAATATTAAAATATTCAGAAGCCACATGTCACAACAGTGAAATTAATCTTAAAGTTATTTAATCTACTGTCCTGTCCTGTCTCCACTGAGTCACGCGAGAGAAGCAATTGAGGGGTTGCCTAGATCAAGCTGGTCTGTGGGCACACACCTGTGACAACTGTCCTGATCACTGACGATGTACGAGGGCCCGGTCCACGGTGGCTAACCGTGAGCCAACAAGGAAGTCATTGAGCAAGCTGGCAGGCCGGGTCCCTCCCCAGCCCCTGCCTCGAGCGCCTGCTCTGCCTTCCCTCAGTGATGGATCATGACTTGAAAGTAAAAGCTAAAGGAACCCTTTCTTCCTCCCAAGTTGCTTTGGTCTTGGTATCTGACACAGTGACAGAATGTGACTAGAACATTTATTGCCAAATATTTTAACATGTAATCAGTATTAAAACGTATTAATGAGATTTTACATCCTCCCTTGATACAAAACCCTCAAAATTGGTTGTGTATTTCATACTTGCTGTATAATCTCAATTTTGACAACAGTGTTTGCTAATAGTATTTGATTTGCATTTAGATTTCATATGGTTTATAGGTTAAAAACCTAGATTCATCTATCATGTAGTTCAGACAACTGTTTTCAATCACTGAAAGAAATACTTACATTTAACTTTTAAAAGTCAAGTCCGGCTTCTTGGTTGATCTGGCCACATCAGAAGCCCTCCCAGACTGTTTCCAGCATGAGGTCCAGTCCCAGCCCTGGCTGTATCGTCCGAACGGCTGTCACAGGAGAATCAGAAAGGGCGGTTTGCTTGCCCCAGCTCTCTCTCTGTCCGTAACACACATCCTATCCCGTGAGATGAAGCTCATTTTTAACTCTGGCTTTTTAAAAAAGAAACTTTAAAAATTGTATTTCATTTTTTCATATCAGGTGTGGGTTCACACAGGCCCATAGAAAGAAGACACAGAGGCACTCTAAGGATGATTTTTAGCCTTTTCTAGCTGCAGGGGGATCAGCCTCCGGCAGACTGACTCAATCTCGCTTAGCAAAGGGCCATTTTACTGTTACACAATTTACACTTTAACAAGTCAGTTTCCTTACACCTCTTATCAGAGCTCCTAAGAGACAATGTCAAATGCAGCTTCATGGTAGGAGACATCTCGGTTTGCCAGTCCTCCCTACCAAGTTCCGCATGGGCTTTGAACCCTTAGGAAACTCAGACAAGATTCACATGTTTCAAAAGGAAGGTACCGGAGACAAAAGGTAACAGTCACAAAAGGCAGATTAAAGCTAGGTGCTAACACTCGAGAACCAAACCGGCTGCATAATACTGCAAGAACTCCCCCAACATTTATGTTTATATTAGGGTTCTCAAGAGTAGCAGAACTTGTACAATGTTGTATATGTGTTTGTGTTTATATGTGTGTGTGTGTGTGTGTATACACACACACATATAAATAACATATATATATATAAAGGGGATTTATATATATATCACTTACATGCTACAGTCCAACTAATCCAACAATGGCAGGCTATGAATGGAAGGTCCAAGAATCCAGAAGTTGCTCAGTCTCAGACATCAGCTAGATGTCTCAGCTGGTCTCCTGTATATGCTGGAATCCTGAAGAGGTCGGCTCCAATGCCAGTGAAGGAGGGATGTGCAGGCAAGGTGAGGGCAAGCGGGCAAAGAAAACCTTTCTTCTTCCATGTCCTACATAGGCTTCTGGCGGAAGGTGTGGCCCAGATTAAAGGTATGGCTTCCTGCCTCAAGATCCAGATCGAAGGGGCACGTCTTCCTTCCCAGTCAAAGGACTGGACTAGAAGTGGATTCACCCACTTCAAACAGAGCAAAAATAATCTCTCACAGGTGTGCCTTCTGGATTGTAGCTCATTCTAGATGTAGTCAAACTGACAACCAACACTAGCCATCACAGTGAGTTTTGCCAGCATGTATGTCTGTACCCTGTGTGTGCCTGGTGCCCTCAGGTCAGAAGAGGGTGTCACATCCCCTGGAACCGGAGTTACGGGTGATTGTGAACCACCATGTGGGTGCTGGGACCCGAACTTGGGACCTGTTAAGCAAGTGCTCTTAACTGTTGAGCCATCTCTCCAGTCTGAACTCGGACTTCTGTACCCAAAGGATACACGTGAAAGTGCTTCTCAGAAGTCCTTGAAAGACGACAGGGCCAGAGTGACATTTCATGGTTCATTTTGTACTAAATGTGTGCAATTTGTAAAATGTTTTGAAGTGCATTTTTAGGACTAGGGTATGAAGCTTTGGGGAAGCTTACTGGACAAACATCATTCGTGTGTTTACCCAGTGTTTCTTGAAATTTTCTGCCTCTTCTCTGTTTTCTACATTTGGGTCTTTGGTTGTAGATGCTGCGCATGGCAGGTGAAATGACCCAGCTGGTTTCTCATTAGAGATGCTGACCTATGGGCTTACATAAACTGGAGTGTCACCTGCCACAGGGAGGCTACTGTGGGCCTGCAAGGAAGCTTTGGCATGCAGTGGCATGCAGTGGCATGCCGGGGCAGGCCTATCATCCCAGCACCAGGAGGTAGAGGCAGGAGGATCAAGCTTTGGCTACATGGTGAGTGTGAGGACAGCCTGAGCTACATGAGATCAGGTCTTAAAGAACAAGACCAGGATTCATAAGGCACCGCCGTGTGGTTTGGAGACTTGGCGACCCTCATCCCATCTGGCCATGCCATGTGCCCATTTGCTAGGGCAGCCAGAACAGGGCTGCTGCTTCAGCACAGATTTATCTGGTTATGATTCTGGTTAGAAAGAGGACGTTGAGTTGGCAGAGCTCCCTGGCTTGTGGCTTTCTTTCTGGGTCTTCCGTGCCCTTCCCTCGGTCTGTCCAGTCTTCCACCTGCCATAGAGCTGCCAGGCACTGCATTAGGCCACACTAAGAACCTAGCTTGTGACTTCATAGGTCCCGAGAGGTCCTGTTTCCAAGTGCAGCCTGACTTAGAGGCTGGGGTTAGGGCTTCAGTGTAGACTTGGGAGGGGGGAGGGAGCAGGGCACAATTGAGCACGAACTGGTCTCTGGGCTCAGAAGGGACTGTGAACTAGGCCATACCGTAGCCTATAGGAAGCAAGTCCTACTTCATCTTCATGGCATTCCTATGAGGTAAGTATTATTATTATCATTAGGGCCATTTTACAGATGAGAACAGTGAGGCCCAAAGAGATGATGTGTTACCCAGAGTCAAAGTGGCAAAACCAGAACCAGGGCTGATCCCATTATACTGTACTTACAAAAATGGGTTGAGACTAACAGGTGTGTGTGAGGGTGTATGTCTGAAAGGTCAGCACACAGTCAAACTTAGGTAAAGTCAGAGCTATAGTCTCCCCTAGAGAAATGGATCAACCATCTTTTCGATAATACCGGTATTAACTTTTTGCTGTTAATCAAAATCTACCAAGTGGATGGAAGGTACTAAGAAGGGGGATGTGTCTTAGCTGCCTCTGCCTCTCCATAAGTGAGCCGTCCTTTTTTCCAAAGTAAAGGTAGTGTGAGTTTAAGACAAATTTGATTTGCAAGTATTAAGCTAAATGTTTATCTTCTTTTTCTAAACTTCAGTCTAAATCCTCATGAATTCAAAGAAAATTCTTTGTTTAATAGAAATAGCCTCTAAAACCACCTCCCACCCCTCACCCCCACCCCCGCCTGCCTTGTGTGGTGGGAAGAACTGGCCTGAGGCCAGTCACCACTGTAAAGGACTTGTTTTCAAAGTCCACACCTGAATAGGCAAGAAAGATGTTGGTTAGCAGGTAATTCTCAACTGGAATGTCCCACCTTAGGCGAATTTCTGAACTGAAGCTCATTCAACCAGGTTTTTGATAAAATGTAGGATCGTGGCCACATTTAGGAATCTTCACACCTCTTTTGAGTTTGAAAAGTGATAACTCTTTTGCAAAGTGAGGTGTGGGAAGAAGAAAAGAAATGTGCACACGTGGGCCAGAGAAATTCTGGGTCCTGGAGCATGGGTTGATTATTCTGAATTCTTCGTAAGTGTAACTCATCACTTTGTAATCTGAAAAAACCATTCCCAGAGAAGAGGTTGGCTCTTGGCTGTAATTTAGTTGGTTTTGCTGAGTCAAGGTCTCATGCAGGCCGACTGTGATTGATGGTCTGAGCCTCCTGTCTACCTACCATGCTCTGTGATTACAAGTGTGCAGCCCCATGCCTGGCCAACTGCACAGTACTCTACCCTGTTAAGGAGACGTTAAACCAAAACTTCATCGGGCTGAAAAAAAAAAAAAGCCACATTTTTTGAATTACATGATTAAGTGACTTTGGGTCTGAAAAAAATATTTCCTCTAAGTGTGTTTGAAGAGCAAAAGTAGTCTCAAAAGGCAACATGGGAAAGCACGGGCCCCTTGTTCTCTAGGAGCCTGTGAAAGCATTCTCTGACTTCAGAAAAGGCAGTAAACGGATGGACAAGTGTGGAGAGAAGAGGAAGGGAAAGAATGACAGACAGGCCAGTTTATTCCAGATTCACCCGAGGAAAGGAGCAGTTGGTTAGCTTCTGGGGTTAGTTTGAGATGGGGGTCTCATGTAGCTCAGGCTGGCCTTGAACTTGTTATGTAGTGGAGGATGACCTTGAACTATGATTCTCTTGCTTCCACCTCCTAAGTGCTGATGTTACGAGCAGATGCCACTACATCCAGTTTTTATATGATGCTGGGAATTAAACCAGGGCTTCTTACATGCCAGGCAAGCACACTACCAACTGAGCTACATTCTCAGCTCAGGAGTGATTCTTAATGAGGCCCTACACACACACACACACACACACACACACACACACACACACACACACACACACACCCTCTGCCCCACATGGCATCTATCACCAAGTTACATCAGTTTTACCTCAAACTGTCTTTTGAGTCTATTCTCTCCCCATCCTCACCTAGAACTCTGCCGTGGGTTGAGTTATGGTTTCTAATTCCCCTCCCCACCCCCTTTCTCCAGCAGAAGGTTACTGTCATCCATTGTATGTCACCACTGTCCCCTTAGCGACACACAGAATGCCTTGCTAAGTGGATAGAATGTAGTAGTTTAGGTATGGCAGATATGACCACGTCCCACTCTGCTTAAACTCCTTCTGCAGTTTCCCTCTGCACCTAGAAAAAAAAAGTCCCCAACCCAGCTTCCTCTTCTGCGTTCTCACTTCCGTGACACTGCCTACCTAGCTACCAGCCAACACATGCCCAGCTCTTTTTTGTCTGGGGGCTTGGGGGCAGGTAGTTCCTCAGCCTGGAAAACTGTGCTCACTCTCCGACTCAGTCCATTCACGTCAGAATTGGGAGAGGCCCTTCCTGAGCCTCTAATCTTAATCAAGCCACCGTCCCATAAACCTCAGGACATGCTACACCTTTGGCTCGGCACCTGTTTGTCATCAGGAACTGTGGCTCTCTGGACTGTCCTGACTCTAGGCCAAGCCCACGCACGCACAGGAGTCGAAGACACTGAGCTGCAGATCAAGGTCCTATTATAGACTGACACAGATGTCTCCCGGGGTGTTGGAAACTTGTGTTCTGGCTCGAAGCCCAGGAGATCAAGGGTTGGGAGGTGAGATAAGGAAGTGAGAATGGCTGAAGAGACAGAGCATGGTCTGGGGCACGAGTTAACCTAAGCAGCCCCGGCACAATTCTTTTCCAAAGCCATTAGAATGCGACTCTTTAAGACTGAATTTTAGTGTGTGGGGTCATTTATTCTATTTGATACGATATAAACTACCCGGTAGTATTATGCCAAACTACTTTTAGTTCATATAAATATGTAATTGTGGGTTGTAACGCAAGATTCTAACGAGGAAAAAAATGCTTGTTCTATTCTGTGCGTTTCTGAGGATCAGCAACACGGAATAAAAAATAAAAACAAAACCCTGGAACTGAAATGGGCTAAGGCAGCTGAGTCATGAAAATGCCTCCATTTAGAGGTAAGAAGATGGAGATGTGGTGTCACATTGGCCTGCAGAAATCAGACCAGACCTTCTGGATTCCAGACCACTGCATTCCCCAGGGCTCTGTGGCTGGCTCCACTGTGTGTCTTTAACTAGCATCAAGAAAAGCTAGGAGTCAGCAGGATTTTTAAGAGTCCAAGAGCTCGTTCTATGATCTTTAAAAGACAGTGTTTACAATTTGTTGTTCATAGAGCCGCACAACCCTGAAGGTCTCCGAGGGAAGCTGGGCCTTTGTAAACAAGACCCGGTAAGGTGAGTCGCTGGCGTCCATCTGCTAATGAAAGGGAAAGGGACGACACTAAAAGCCTGCTGGCCGGTTTATGGTGGGCCTTTTAGCGCATTTTTACACTGTGTGTTTAAGTATGGGCGTGTCTGATGCTCTGCAAATTTGTTCCAAGTCCAATGATGTCACACTCCAGAGCTAGAGTGGGCCCAGCTCGGAAGCTGCCCTTACTTCCTGAGTGTGGCCTGGCTGAATTGCCGGCGTCTCCTGGCAGAGAG